TCAACTTCTTCTAAACAGGAAGGATCACATACATAACGCAGCGAGCAGCTGTTTGCCATCAAGTTGAACCTACTGTTCCTGAGGAACGTTGTCAAGACAGTAGGGAACGTTTGACCAGATAGTTCATTTACTAACTTTTCTTCTCATTTTCGCTCTTTATAAACAGTGATAAAACAATAATTAGCACTATATCCTCGTGGGAACGTTAATTTGGGCATTAATACTCCCTTTATTACTTGATGCGTGCACTTACGCACTTGGGTTGGAACTGAGGGACGAATCTGTGTCTGCAAGAACAGAAGAACGTCTCCGATCAGAACTTATATTTTTCCACCATCAGCAAACCACCCAACACTAAGCCTTCGAAATGTGAGTTTTGGCTCAAGTCTGTGAAGTTTCTTGGGCATGTGATTTCTGCTGAGGGAGTTGCAGTGGATCCCAACAAGATTGAGGCCGTGTTAGATTGGGAGAGGCCCAAGAAGGTTATTGAGGTTAGGAGTTTCCTGGGTTTGGCAGGTTACTACCAGAGGTTCATTAAGGGATTCTCCACGATAGTTCTACCATTGACTCGCCTTACCCGGACGGAGACTCCATTTGTGTGGACTCACGAGTGTGAGGAATGCTTTCAGGAGTTGAAGGAGAGATTGACTACCGCTCTTGTGTTGATCCTTTCTGATCCTGATGAGCAGTTTGAGCTTTACTATGATGCTTCTAGAAAAAGGGATGGGTTGTGTGTTGATGCAGACCGGTAGAGTTGTTGCTTATGCTTCAAGGCAATTGAAGCCTCATGAGGAGAACTACCCGACTCATGATTTGGAGTTGGCTGCGATTGTTTTTGCTTTCAAGATTTGGAGGCATTATCTGTTTGGCATGTAGTTTGCTGTGTTCAGTGATCACAAGAGTTTGAAGTACCTGTTTGATCATAAGGAGATGAACACGAGGCAAAGGAGATGGATGGAGTTTCTGAAGGACTACAACTTCGAGTTGAAGTACCATCCTAGCAAGGCCAATGTGGTAGCGGATGCTCTGAGTCAGAAATTGGTGAGTCTATCCAGTTTGTCGATAGGTGACTTTGATGTTATTGAGAAATTTAGAGATCTGTCGGTGACTTCCGTGTTTGGGGGTGCACTCCTCGAGATGAAGACTGTGAGAGTCAATAATGAGCTTATGAAGAAGATCCAAGATGCGCAAGTGCAGAGAGAGTTCCTGGACTACGTGAAGAACCAGAACAGTGTGTCTTGGAATGAGGATGGACTCTTGTTGTTCCAGAAGAGGATTGTGGTTCCTCGAGGTCCTTTGACCGAAGAGGTGATGGCAGAGGCCCATAAGGGCCAGTTCACTGTTCAGCCTGGTGCTACAAAGATGTATCAGGACTTGAAGAGTATGTGTCCAAGTGTTTGATTTGTCAGAAGGTGAAGATAGAACACCAGAAACCGTCTGGTAAGCTTCAACCTCTAGATATTCCAGAATGGAAATGGGAGAGCATTTCCATGGAATTCGTGGTAGGTTTACCGAAGACTCAGGTTGGCTGTGACTCTATATGGGTCATTATGGACAGATTGAAAAAGTTTGCCCACTTTCTTCTAGTGAAGGTGAGCTTCACTACCGAGCAGTTGGCCAGACAGTTTGTTCGCGAGATTGTGAGCTTTTGGTACTCAGTTGAGATTGAGTACAACCTATCACCCTCAGACTGACGGACAGACTGAGCAGACCATCCAGACCTTGGAGTACATGTTGAGGGCTTGCACTTTGGAGCAGGGCTCAGCATGGGATAGGTACCTGCCATTGGTGGAGTTTTCGTACAACAACAGTTTCCATGATAGCCTGGGCATGGCACCCTACGAGGCGTTGTATGGTAAGAGGTGTCAGACTCCTACCTGATGGTCTGAGGTTGGAGATAAGGAGTTGTTTGGCTTGGACTTTGTCCAAGATACCATCCAGCAGATCCAGATGAGAGAAAAGCTGAAGCAGGCGCAGAATCGCCAGAAGAGCTACTACGATGTCAAGCATCGTCCACTGGATTTTAGTGAGGGTGAGCACGTATTTGTGAGACTTTCACCTGTCACCGGTGTTGGTCGGGCACTCGGACTGAGGAAGCTGAGCTCGAGATTCATAGGGCCATACCAGATTCTTTGTAGAGTAGGACATGTTGCCTACCGGCTTGCCTTGCCTCTGAACTTGGCCAACATCCACGACGTGTTTCACGTGTCTCAGCTTCGGAAGTACAAAGCAGATCCTTCGTACGTGGTGCAACCGGATGATGTGGAAGTCGGGAGAACTTGAATACCCCCGTCGGACCACTCAAGATTCTCGATTGTGGCGAGAAGAAGCTGAGGAGCAAGATCATTCCGATGGTCAAAGTGCAATGGACAGGGAGAACTTCTTAGGAGTGTACTTGGGAGCGAGAGGACGAGCTTCTCCGGCAGTACCCCGAGTTTCAGGACAGGTATGCTTCTGATTTTGAGGTCAAAATCCTAAAAAGGTGGGGTGAATGTAAGAACTAGCACCGTTAATTAAGGAAGTTAATTAATTAATTATGAGAAATTAGGAAATATTCCATAATTGACCCTAATAATTATGATAAGGCTTAAATAATTATGGTAAGTAATTATTAATGCTGAAAGTCGCTTTTTTGACGAAAAGTGTAGATATCGGTTCTGCTCCTCGGTATAAATGCGCACCGATGAAGTATCCCAGAAAATTATAATAAGTGCATGAATATTCCTAGAGTAACATTTAGGACTGTGATTTCAAGTTTCAAGTCAAAATAACGAGAACCGATGCCAGAACTGATATTGGCTATGTAAAAGCGCGTACCGAAAAGGTGCTGCGAAAAATAAAATAAAAATATGAAAAAATCCTGGAATAATGGCTAGGTTCAGAATCTAAAGTTTGAGATTAAAATGCTAAGCGTAGCTATTAGTGCTAATATTGTGCGTTTAAACTTAAACTGCCTATATATATATGCTCATTTTGGCACTAAACCCTAGGAAGCCTTTTGTTCTACGTGGATTGGAGGATGACCAGCACTCTCATACTATTCCATTGCCTTCTTTTCTTCATAGTGTGAGCCTAGAGGTCATTTCTTCCTTTGAACCTTCACCAAATACTTTGTGTGAGTGAGGGGGATCATTGGGAGTGAGTGGAAGGCTTTGCTTCTGAGTTGGTGTTCTGTTTTTTTTGTCTTGGAGCTGGACTTTCTAGTTGTGTGGTGAGAGCCTTTGTCATGGCATTTTAAGCTCCAAGGAGTCATCTTTTGGTGCAAAGAACCAATCTTTGGTGTGCCATTTTCGTGCCTTGAAGAAGTCAGAGCTTTAGGAGTTGTTTGGTGAGCTCCAAGAGTCATTGTACCTCTATTTTAAGCTTGGGTAAGCTTCATCACCTTTGATGATGAGTTTTAATGGTTAAAAGTGGAGTCTTGGCATGTTTATTGAGTTGTTTAAGTAACCAACCAGTATATGAACCTTAATGGGCTTAAAGATGCATGCTTTAACGTATACAAGTGTTAAAAATGGAACCTTGTGAGTTATATCTCGCAAAATGCAGAAACTGCATTCTGTCGCAAAATATTTGGATATGTTATCCGAATATTGATATCCGGATATTTGTATTTGGAAATGGACTTTAAGATATCCGAATATGGATATCCGGATATAATATCAGGATATCTATATCCGGATATGATATCCGGATATGGCCCCGACATATATCCGGATATTATGGGTTTTCGAGAACAATATCTATATTGTTCATACAGAACTGAGTTATGGGTTTGTGGACCCTAGATTGATGAAGTTGAACTTCTGTATTGGATGTATAAGTCAGAATCTAAGTGATTAAGGGCTTATGGCTTTGTGAGAAGCCTATAGACATTAACGTAAAAGAAAGGCGTTGTCTTTATGTCTTATGCTTGTGGTGTTTGAATATTGATTTGATTGCTGGTCCAAAACAGATTGTGATTCTGCTGTGTGTGGACTTTGAGCTTGTGTGGACTCTTGGCTTGGATAGTTAGCTTGCAAGGTAATCTTTCGTGTCCTCGGTTTAGCCATTGTTGGTTCCACCATACCCCTCGAGGGAATGGTTTATATGCATGATGTGTTTTCATGTATTGCTTTATTGAATTACTTTTGAGCTGTTAAGTGCAAATGCCTATGATATGTATGTGGTGTTCGCCTAGACGGGATATGATCCTGTGGGCAGGTACGGCATGGGCGCGTACTGTGGGGGTAATAGACGTATTCCTGCATTTCTATGGCCAGTAGATTAGTTATAACACACATGACATGATTATCTGTTGCATTGCACTATTTTGAAACTTATACTGTTTAACTGCTTTTGGAACTTATATTGCACATGTAAGTGAGCTTGGGGTGGAAGATCTTGAGGACCCCTTGTCTTACTGAGATTTCTGTTTAGAGATCTCACCCCACGTTTGGGGCGTTTATTTCAGGTTCAGGTAACCCAGGGGTTGAGACCTCTAGCGGCAGGAGGCCAAAGCTTAGTTGATTGATGTTTATCTATGTATGTTGACTACTCTTGGATGCTGGATTATGTCTGTAGCTATTATGTCATTAGCTTTACGGATTACTGTGTTGAGACTCTGTTGGTTATGTTGTTTATTTGGTGAGCATGGGGATTGTCCATGCCACATTGACTTGACTTTATGCTTTTAGTTTTGAGTTGTATTAATGTATCAGGATATTGTCCGGACTACGTGTTGTAGATCCGTGACTTAGATACTCGCTTATTTATATCATAAGGTATTTCAGTTAGCGGTTTTTCTGCAATTTACATATAGGTGATGTTTTTGGAAATAGAACTTAATAATCAACTTGGTTAATGATAATGACGTCATAATTGAAAAGAAAAAGATATTCCATAATTTAATTAAGCGTGGCTTAATACGATGACATGTTATCAAACCAGGTATACACGGGGTGTTACAGCCAGCATTTCAGGGGTCAAGGGACCCGAAGGTAGTGACTACCTGGTTGATGGGAATGGAGAAAATATTTCAGGTTATGAGGTGCCAGGATCCCCAGAGACTGATGTACTCTGTCTATATGCTTGAGGGAGATGCCCACGAGTGGTGGTACAATGCATCTCGCCCGTTTACTATTCAAGGAGAGGAATTGACATGGGCTTTATTTGAGATATTATTTCATGAGGAGTATTTTCCTAGGGATGTCCGGGAAGCTAAACAGGATGAATTTGAGAAATTGGTACAGGGTACCATGTCTATTGATACTTATCTGGCCAAGTTTAATGAATTGGTCATGTTCGCAAATTATGGGGGTGTTCTGCCTACCCCGGAATTCTTGTCTGCTAAATTTCAGAGAGGGTTAAATGAGAAGATTGCCAAGAGGATGTCTAATACTGCTGTTAGGAATTTTGTTGATTTAGTGACCCAGTGCAAGAGGGTTGAAACTGTTTATGGCAGGTATCCGAAGTCTAGTTCTTCGAGAGAGCAGGATAACAGAAGGACATTCGTTCCTTCTGGTAATAATAACAGGGATGGCTACCATCAGAATAATAATAGAGGTTGGGGGTTGCAGTTAAGGAAACCTCCTGGTCAGTTCAAGAGGGGTGGTGGTCAGAGAAGCGATTTTAATGATAGGAATTCTACTCCCCATTGTGATAAATGTAAGAGGTATCATCGGGGTCCTTGTACTGCGGCCCCGAATTCTTGTTTCAAGTGTGGTAAGGTTGAGCATTTTGCCAGAGAGTGTTATAGTAATATTGGGCAGGCTGCGAATTTGCAGGCCTTGCCATCTGCTCCTACGGTTGGGCGTGTTTATACTACTAATGCGCAGCAGACGGAGAAAACACCTAATCTGGTTAAAGTTATAGTTTTTATCTCTAATATTTATTTGTTTGTTTTATTTGATTCGGGAGCGACGCATTCGTTCGTGGCTGAATATGTTGCTAAGGGGTTGGGGTTAAGAGTATCACAGATGATTCTCCCTATGCGTATTACTTCTTCTACAGGAGAGGTTAGTGATTCCTCCTTTATTTGTAAAGAGGTTGGGTTTATCTACGAAGGCAGGGGTTACACTATTGATTTGAGTATCTTCCCCCTAGCCTCTATTAATTTGATATTGGGTATGGATTGTTGTCTCAAAACTGCGCAATGATTGATTGCTGCGGCAAGAGGTTAATATTATCTCACGAGAAGCCCTCGGTTTGTCCATCTTCTTTTCTATCTGTCTGTCAAACAATTAAAGCCTTGAAGGCTGGTGATCTGGGTTATGTTTTCTGGGGTGGATAGGTGGGTGATAAGGAGATATAGATTTCTAGTATTCCGGTGGTTAATGAATTTGTGGATGTATTTCCTGATGAGATACCGGAATTCCCACCTGAGAGAGAGATTCAGTTCTCTATTGAATTGTTGCCTGGTGTGGGGCCTATCTCTTTGGCTCCATACCGGATGTCGCCACTGTAGTTGGCTGAGTTGAAGAAACATATTGAGGAGTTAACTGCAAAGTATTTTATCATACCGAGTGTGTCTCCATGGGGAGCACCGGTTATATTTGTGAAAAAGAAGGATGGAAGCATGAGATTGTGTACTGACTACCGACAGTTAAATAAGGTTACGGTTAAGAACAGGTACCCATTGCCGCGTATTGATGATTTGCTGGATTAGTTGAGGGGTGCCTGTGTATTTTCTAAGATTGATCTCCGGTCTGGATACCACCAGAATTAAATGCATAACCTTATATTGGAACTGAATGCATAATTAAAGAAAGGTTATCTGAACTGAATTTAGAATATAGTGGACTGAACAGGTAAATTGAGACTACATGGAACTACACCTCGTTTGGTTTGTTTTATTATGTTAGTTAATTGACACTTGCTAAAATTCATACTCGAATAAACATCAGAAGGTTCTAACTGGTTACTATAATGTTGTCTAATCGTGTATGGGTATGGATAATATGCACTGAAGATACAATGGGATTAAATAGAGATACTGAAATTTGACTGGTTATAAGCTTTAACTGTTATGAGCTCACACCTGTTAGTTTCATTACATTGTGGGTTCAGAAATCTGATGTCTGCTGGTGCATAGAACTTTAGGTTGGTTCCCGTTATGAATACTGTAACTTTAATTTGATAAAATCAATTCCCTACCTATAAGGAATACTCACAAATAAGTCGTCACACATTTGGTCTCATGTCATATTTTTGGCTGCATGATTCGGCTTCTTACAAAGCACTATAATTCTATTTCATTGTCTACTTATACAACAGAATCGAGATTGCATGTGAATTCCAATGTTTATACAGTGCAAGTATATTACACCTCCCATTCGAATTATTTGGTAACGTTTTAAACTTTTACTGCATCTTTGATTTTTTTGTTCACTAACACCCGACGCACTCAAGAAATTTTATAAAGTACGTCTTACCTTGATGATAGAACTCTCTTGATATTTCTAAACTTGCCCCCCTGAAGAATGACTCACTTCATTTTAATTTATTGCCATCAAGGTGTAATCTTATGCATGCAAAATACTATCTGAAGTTATGAATTCAAACTAAATTTTGTGGTTTAATTTATTGAAGGTGCTAATCAACTTATTGTGTATTCTATACCAAGATCCAGTTAATTGACTATAGGTGCTAATCAACACCTGTTTCATATAGCATACTATGTGTAATCTCTTTAACCATTTGACCGAGTTTCATTAATTTTGTCCAAATTTACAACATTTAAGTAATTCATACTCTTGCATATAATACGTACCTCGTATACGTTTTCGATGCATAAAAATGCATTTTCCATGCCTAGGAGTTCCAGTGGTCGTAGCAATTATACTTTGGTATATTGGGTGCTTAAGCATGCAATTTTTACATATGCATCATTGTCCATATGTGGGTCTGCACACTGTTGTCGTATATTGAAGTGTTTACTTTAGCCATACACTTTAAGAGTTTGAACTTTTCCCTGTCATGATATTTCTGAATGATAGTCCCTTACACTGGCGTGGTAGTAAATTTTTGTATTTGTCTTAGTGGAATATTTTAAATTTCAACGCAGTACCTGTTGGATTTTGAAATATGAATTGTATGTACAGATGAATCGGTATTAACTTGTGGTGTGTAATGAAGAAGACTGATCTAGCTCCATCTTGTGATAACATGAATTATTCTCTTGATTTAATTGCGTGTGTGCTCAAACTCCTAGATATAAATTAAGATGAATCTTCCCTACCTTATGTTCATGTTTATTGGGAACTGTTGATGGTTGGTGGATATGCCTATAGCCAGTTACTAGTTAGAACTACTTGTATACTTGCATAGTTACTTGGACATTAAACATAAAGACTGAGTATGTGATATAAAAGTTGAATTTAACTTCAGCACCCAGATGTTATGAAATTGATGTTTAATCGATATAATATTCAATCTGTGACAGAAATACACTGCTGTAAACCCCATGTTTAGAAGTTTGACATTGGATTTGTGTACATCATGGTATATTATTTTTATTTCTGAATTGTTCTTATCGAATAGATGTATTCCTGTCAGTATGGATGTGATTAGCCATTTGACTAGGGAACTTTGAATTCGGTGTTGTTAATGCATGAAGTCTTGTACGTAAAGTTTATTTGTTCCTTGAATGTAAATTTAACTATAGCTAGGAACTTTGGATACGATTATTGTGAACTTGATTTATGAAATGCTTGGTCTGTTTTGATGGGTTATGTCTGATAGCTGTTTCAAGATTGTGATATGTGTTAACGATTGGAAATTCATATCATGATTAATGGATCCTCTGATCAGTAGAGTTAATTACATCTGATGTACCTAGGACAGCGGAAATCTCGAGGAAGTTTCCTCATATGGGTGTTTTGACGAACTGTATGAGGGGTACCACTTACCATGATATGTATGAAGAACAGAATAGAAGTTTTGTGATTTTATGACGATTTCTCTCACTTGAAAGTTGGAATGTGATGTGTACTGTTCTACTGCTTGACTTCCTGAAAACTAATAAGTATAGAATTCTGTCTGTGATATTATTAAGTAAGGTGATTAATGTAGAAGTCTGAATTTAATGCAAATGTGTGATGAGTTTGGGTAGTGAATTAATCTATATCATCGAAAACGATTAGGTAGGAAGTAATGACACTTCTAAGTAGTAACAGGTACAGTACAAAGAAGAAACGTTTGTGATTGGAGGTCCTAGTTAATTAGTCCTATGTTGCAAAAATAATAGGAGGTAATATTATTTTATTGTTAAATGGAACCCTACATTCTTAGGAATTTTTCGTCGGGGCCACTGACCCGTTAAATTGTATTTTATATGGAAACATTGAAATTTATAATCAGTTGCGTGGTAGTATAGGGTGACATCAAAGATGGTCTATGATATAGGAGTTTTGAGAAGTCCTCTGTCTATTGTCATGTTTTACTTCATAGGTTATAATTTTTGAATCGGGTGAATAAAAGGCTAAGCACTTATGCCTACACTAGTATTATTTGTTAAAGTGATATTGTGAAAGTAATAACTGTCTGGAATGGTGTAATCGTGTTAAGCATTAGATTTAAGCAGATTTTGGGATGGTAGGACGAAGTTTGGGGACAAACTTCAAATTTTGGTGGGGAGAGTGTAACATCCCGCGAAATTAGGAATGCACACAAACTACCCTTAGCAGTGTAATACATGTTTCGAACCTTATATGTATATATATCGAGTTAGGAAGAATTAATTTTTTGCATGCATGTTGTTAGTAATGGGTAGGAATATTTTCGGAATTTGAATCTTGGTTTCAAGTATGAGATTAATTTTAGTCCCACGAATAAACCCTTAGTAACTAATTAGAGGGTACATTAAATAATAAAGCATATGAATAATTTAATAGTAACATATAGAAAGCCTAATGATACCTAGAAGAGATGGGAACTAATAATTTAGTGGGCTAGCACATAAGGGAGGAGAGCCCTTAGGAAGAATGTTTTGGACCCTATGACCAATAAGGGTGTTGGCCCAAGTCCCTAACATGGAGGTGTAAGTCAGCCAAGATGTCCTAACCATGATCCTTTAGCTCATCCAAAATTGATCAGCCCAAGAGCCCATCCACCCTTGTACCTCTTTCATGCGCTAAGTGTAGGAGAGAAAAGAAAATTCTGATCACATGTTCTAATATTCACATTCCACTCCAGCTTTGCATGCTTACCCTGTGTCAACCAAAATCCTCCACCATTCCTTGCATGTACGCCACCTATACATTTAGAAGCACCACATGACAAAGCTCACCTATCTTCATACCTCCCTTGCATGCACATAGAATATGTAGAAAGCAAACTGATTGCTTGCCAAAGCATCTAAATCTTTTAGCTTTTGCCACCCATGCAGCCAATGGGACCAAAAAGAAATCTGAAGGGTCATTTTGATTCAGCACCCATAACCCTTATCTCTCCATCACTAGTACATACATTAGGAGGAAGAGAGATGAACATTCTGTGCAAAAATAAAACCAACATCACTCTTCTCCTCTCACCATCTTCAAGGCCGTGAGTGTGCGAGGAGCAAAGAAATAAAACTTCATCTTTCTCTCATCTCCTTCTCCATAGAAACTGTGCACTTCATAGAAAGGAAGCAAGGCACTTAAACATTTTCTCCTTCTTCTTGACCGTAAGCATACTTAGAAGAGAACACCAAGAAAGCGTGCTTCATCCCCATTTCCTTCAAGCCGTGAATTACATGTGCAGGGAGCAAAATACCTAAGCATCCTTCCCCTTCCCTCCCTTGTTGGCCGAACCTCATCTATCAACAAGGTAAGGTGTTTATCTCTCCCTTGTCCCTACACACCCACTCGGTTTTGATGGAACCATTTCTCTGTTGCATGTAGCAAAAATCCAAAATTTTGGAGCTTAGGAAGTTTGGTTGTGTGCTCCTCACTTGGTGACCGTCTTCCATTGGTGGATTGGGGAGCTGTAGGTGCGTATTAGAGGTAAGAGCCAAACATTTAACCCTTTCCTTTGTCATCCCTGTTTCGATCTCCATGCGTGAACTAGGAAGACTACTTTTGCTTTTTCACTTTTCCTTAATTCTGCCCATTCAAACAACCCTAGGATTTGAGGCATGTAAGCTAAAATTGTCCTATTGTGAGCTTGGAAGATAGTTTTTTTTACTGCTCTTTGAAGTAATTAAATTGATTGGGTCTGGTATGTATTAAACGTAGTTGGACAGCATGTTTAGGTCCCTCATTAGCATACCTTAGGCCTTGTATAGTCGAATATATGAATAAAATAAAATGAGCTCTTTTTATGTTGAAAATCGAATTATTATGTATGGAGAACCTTGGAACTTTTCACTGTTACACGTTGATAAATTAATGAGTATAGATTGTTTTATCATTCCTCTGTCTTGTCCTCATAATTCGGCCATCACATGTAGAGTTAGAGAAGATTTTCCTTGGGCTTTTTCCATTCATCAATTATGCCTATGTTGACCGATTTGGACTTACCACTTAATCACTCAAAGAATTGTTTTAGAAGCTTGGATTCCTCGCTGTTGACAAATTGGTGAAGTAAGCCAAGTCAGAATAGTGATGTGGTTTAGGGACTATGAAAATCGAATCTGCATGTAGGGAAAGCCTTGGGTATTGTTGCTGTAACAAGTTAATAAATTGAGACGAAGTCAGAAAAATATTCGCTTAGGAGAAGTCTTAAAATCGAACCTATGCATGTTGTGAGCCTTGGAAAAATGGTAATTCTAGCAAGGAATGAAGTACTCTTAAGGGCATAATATAATTAGCACTAGGAACCTTATAATTTGATGAAAGTGCATGATTTAGGAGCGTAGAAATTATTGGTGATTTATAGGGATAATTGTATAAAAATTCTGATTTGATACGTTGACCTATTAGGTGCGCAAAACTCTTAAGACTTTGGACTAATTTGCTGCTGCCTTGTAATTTATTTGTGACGCGCGAGGTAAGTGTTTGGTGATATTACCTAATGTGACTATTAACTAGCGTATAGAATTGTGAATTGTTGCTCACACGTGCCTTGGATTAATGTGTTGTTATATGCTATATGTATGCTGCCTATGAATGTGACAAGATGGAAAATCATGAATGAGAAGTAATTGTTATGTGGCAGCTTGGTACGAAAAGTACATGAAAGATATGCTATTATGATGATGATCTAGTCATGCATATACACCTCATAATTCATTTGTTTCTTGTTTGTGTGTGAAGTATATCATGGCATACATGCATGAATTTCATGTTGTTCATGATTAGAATATTTACATAAATATGCATACGTTTGAGCACGCATCATATAGGCATCCCTTCGGTACCAGGGTATGGGACACTTGGCTTCAGTCCGCATAGGCCACAGTTGGAATTCACCTTTGATGGGAGCCATTATGGAATATCCACTGTGTATGTTAGTACGCGCACGACGGTGCTATGAGCGTAATGATGGCATTATATACGCACTATGATATGTTAAGTACGCGCACGAAAGTGCTATGAGCGTAATGATGTCGTTATATACGCACTATGATATGTTAATGCTTCTCCGGAAAATGAAATGTTGATGTGACTGTTTTATAATTTTGTGCCTAGATTAATACTGTTGCATTATTGGTTTTGCTATCACCCTACTGGGATTTTTCTCAGCCCTTTGGGGCTGCAATTTTTATAAAATTGCAGGAGGACGAAATAGCATATGAAGACATGGTTATGTTTGGATATTGGCTGCTAATTGTTGTTGTTTGGATTTTTGCCGTTGCGGTTTATTTGATGGATGAATGTATTATTTTGGGAAGTTTGGATTATTGTTGGAAATATGATTTAGCTACTGTTTTAAGACTTTTATGATCAGTTATTACTTTGGAAAAATTCTGAAATTTTTTTGCGAAAATAATTTTCTGAACGTTTTATTAAGTGCTGATTTATAAACAGTTTTGCGAGCATTTTGCGAGTTATACGTACGCGAAGCCCCAGATGTATAGTTTCTATATATCAAAGAATATTTTTTTGAATTGCTGAACATTTTCAGCAAGGTCTGCCAGAAAGGTCTGCCAGGAAATTAAACATTTTCAGCAAGCTATGTAATTTTTAAAGTCTACCCGGAATTTTTGTATGTAACCATCTTTCATCATAAGTTTTATTTAGCAACAAAAAAATGCGGTTTCAATATCAAAGTAATGACGTCCAAACTCTAATCCGCTTAGCAAACAACTTTCTTGGATGCATACAAGGGAGGGTGTTACATGTAATTAGCCAAACATGCAACCATAGAAAGGTAAAATTGAGTAGGAAGTCTCGAATGATAAAAATAACCCTGTAAATGGATTCAGAACGAAAAATTGAGTGGATAGGCAAGTTTCAGAAAATTTGGTGAATAGTGTTTTTATTCGGTAAAAATACTATGGTACGATTGCACAGTAAAACGTGACGATTGAGTTTTGAGCTCTTGGTTTGCATATAAGTTATAAATGGTGTATAGGACTAGGAAATATGATTTTTGATGAATATTGACGAAAATTAGCGAGTTTAGGGAAGCGTGCCTACGACGCGCGTAACAGCTTAAAACTGCAATTTC